TCTCTCTGTCATTCAGTCGATTCTGAGTCTTAACGACCGCATACAGGATTCTCGAGACTATATCTTTACCAGAGCAGACACCCTTCTCTTTCTCCCTCAGAACTGCTGGTGGGTTTGAACCACTGACTTTTAAGTTAGCAGCCAAAGGCTTACCCGGCTGCGCCACGAGGGGCCCTTTCTTTCTTTTTCATAGAGTCTAACCGCCCTTGTGGGTTTCGGTGACTAACTCTTTACAGGAGCGGAGACCTCCGTCTTTCTCCAGCGGAGTGACTGGTGGTTTCGAAGTGCTGACCTTGCGGTGAGCAGCCCAAAGCATAACCACTGACTAGCCCACCTGCAACCTGCGCTCCTCCAAGAGCTAGGACCTATAAAAGAACGATGCTAGGGCGCGGAGAGAGGAAAGAGGGAAGGACCGGAGGCAGGAAAGAGGGACAGGAGGAACGAAGAAGCGCAGAGAAGGGACCCAGGCTCCAGCGGCCGACTGGCCAAGGTCTGCGCCCGCCGCCCTCCCTGCAGTCGGGGAGGCGGGGCCCGGGTCGCCGCACTTACCTGACCGGAGCAGCACCGCCCGGTAGAGCCCGGTGGCCTCGGCGGGCCCCCGAGCGCGCTCGCTCAGTCTCTGCGCCATGGACCGCGCGCGCCTGCGGAGCCGGCACTGCGGGAGCGGAGCCCACGGCCGAGCGCTCGGAGCCTGAGCCCCAGCGCCTCGGCGGCGGTGACGCGCCCGCGGCCCAAATCCCGCCGGGGATCGGGTTACCGCGGCGGCCGGAGGGGCGGGCACCGAGACGCCGCAGCAGGAAGCAGAGGGGCAGGGGAAGCGGCAGGTTTTCCCGCCCAGGCTGCAGATGTGGCTCTTGGGGCTGACGCGAGGACTCACAGTCCGGGGGGGCGGCGGGGTGGGGTGGGGGTGAGCCCAGGGCAAGACTAGGACCCTGGGGTCCTGATGGTTTCCCACCCATTCTCTAGTCCCCTGGCCCCTGGTCTCCTTGAACGCTACAAAGCAGGCGTGGGATTCTGTGCCACACCTGGAGGCAGAGCCCAGCCCCGCTGCGTGCTACCGGGTGACCCCAAGTGTAAGATGGGGATCAGGAGAGAACCCACAGCTCAGCGTATAAAGGACAGGGGCTGGCAGAGAATAGTACTAGATAATGGTACTTAAAATGTTCCCAGAATGTCCTGGGGTTGGTGGCACTGAGAGGCAGCGGGCTTTCCTGAGGGAAAGAGGCAGCGGTGACCTGTTGGGCTCCACAAGATTGGTTTTCTGGTTTCGTGGGGTCCCTTGAACAGCCAGTTAGGAGGACCCAAACAAAGAGTCTAAAGGCAGAAAGGACAAAGTCTCTCTGAGCAACTTCTATGGGCCTGATGCCATGCTGGGTTCCTTCTCAAACAGCAGTCAATGCTTACTGCAAACTCCCTGTCCTGAGACTTCTAAGAAGCAGGGTCTATTAGCATTGCACCCGAGGCTAGGAGGGGTTAAGGGGCAATTACTTTCTCTGAGGGCACATACTCCGGGTGGCCTGGTTCCAGGCAGATTAGAGCCGCTCCACTCAGCTGCCCTTCTGGTTAGCTCATGCACTCTTCCCAACAGCCCTCAGTGGTCAACTCTAGCACCAGCTTAGCAGTTGTACTTCACATAATTGAGACTCCAGGAGGTGAGGGGACTTGCCCATACTTACCCAGCTAGTTAGAAGAGTCAAAGCCCACCCTCATTTCCCTCCCACAAAGTTTGTGCCCCTGAAAGCAGCAGGCCCCTAGAGAGCTGCCCAGGATCTTGATTGGGTCTGCTCAAGGCAGTGTGTCAGTGAGCCAGAGACTGCTGTTCCGATTCTCTGGGGCCTCGGTCTCTGCAGAAACAACCCCCTCTGTTTTTCTGCTTTTCTGCCCGTTTTGAAACTGTTTATGGTGACCGACCCCCTTAGCCTCAGTCTGCTCTCCAGCCTCAGCACCTCTTGTTTGTTAGACGGGGCCTCTCTGATGTGCCCCTGGACCACTAGACAGGACCAGCTTCTGCGCCAACTCAGAGGCCTCTGTCTTTTCCTGCTTCCCAGATGTCACCCCAGGTCCTGAGGACCCCCGATCCCGAGGACCCATCTGTTGCTTCTGTTTCAGGGACCTCACTGATTGGCCAGACTGATCTCCACTCTCTTTCAAGGCCAGGCATCACGAGTGCCTCAGGCCTCGCCTGCACTTCATCTTGTTTAACCCCCGGTAGCTATTTGAACGAACTCTGGTTATACCCTGTTTTTCAGACAAGGAAAGGAAGGCTCCAGGGACTTGGCCCACGATCACAGAAGCAGTTGGTCGTGGGGCTGGAATTTGAGCCTCGGTGGTGCCAAGACTTTTGGTGCCCGGGGAAACCCAGCCAGCTGCCAAGGAAGGTAGGCTTCAGGAACATCGTGGCTCAGGGTGTGCGGGTGTTGGTGGCACATGCTCCAAGGACTGCCCCTGGCTGCGCCCCTGGGGGCTGACTTACCGGAGCCGTTCAGTCTCCGCTTCTCATTTTCTCGGTGGAATCTGGCCTGAGGAGAGTACTCTTTCTGTGAGCAGAGAGAGGAGGAGGAGGTCAGTGGGAGGAGGCGGTCTCTACTAGGAGGATGAGCTATTCTTTGGGGCTCGGAAGGAATTGTTCGGGGCCAAAGTCTTCTCCAGAGAAACGAATTACAACTGTCCTTGGAATAGTGTGTGTGTGTGTGTGTGTGTGTGTGTGTGTGTGGTGTGTGCATGCGAGCAAGATGATGAGACCCATGATCTTTTTATTTTAAAATAGGTTTATTTTTAGGAGGAGCCCTGGTGGTGCAGTGGGGACAGTTTTAGATTTACAGAAAATGAGCAGACAGTTTAGAGGGGCCCCGTATATCTACACACTCTCTCGCAGCCATCCAATCGATGCTGACTCACAGGGACCCTGCAGAGCAGAGTAGAACTGCCCGGGTGCATTTCCAAGACTGTAACGCTCTATGGGAGTCGAAAGCCTCTCTTTCCCCCGTGGAGCCGCTGGTGGTTTCAACCTGCTGGCCTTGTGGTTAGCAGCCCAATGCAGAGCCCTGCACAGCTTCCCTTACTGTTACCATTGGGCATTGGTTTGGTACACTTGTCATTAATGGGCCCACATCGATGCATCCTTATTAACCACAGCTCATACTTTATTCAGATTCCTTCGTTTTTATCTACGATCCCTCTCATTCAGGAATCCCACCGAGGCTGGCACACTGCATGTGGTTGTCCTATCTCCTTGGGCTCCTCTGGGCGGTCACAATTTCTCAGACAGGCTTTGTCTGGAGGACCTTGTGCTTTTGGATGATCAGGTGCTGGACCGGATGCTGTTGAGCTCTTGCCTCCTTGGGTTGCCTTCTCTCTCCCTCCTGGCAAACTCCTCCTTCTCCGGGGCGTGATCCTCAGGGTCAGTCCTTGCCATCTTCTCTTGTTATTTTCACACGACTTTAAAAACTGTGAATTGGTGATCCCCAAAAGTCTCTAACCTAGACTTCCCCACTGAACATCAGCTTTGCCCAACTGGTGACGTTAGCCGCTGCTTGAGAGTCTGATTGTGGCTGTGGTTGTTAGCTGCTGTGGAATTGATTCCGACTCATGATGGCCCTGTGTGGTACAGAGTAGAACTGCCCTGTAGGGTTTTCTCGGCTGTAAACTGCACAGTCAGAGACCACCAGGCCTTTTTTTCTGTGATATCATTGGGTGGGTTTGAACTACCAACCCTTAGCTTACTCAAAAACTCACTGTCATTGAGACAATGCCAAGTTATAGTGATCCTATAGGACAAGGGAGAACTGTCCTTGTGTGCTTCTGAGACGGTAACTCTTTATGGGAGTAGAAAGCCCTGTCTTTCTACCACCAGTAGCTGATAGTTTTGAACTGATGTCCTTGTGGATTGCAGTCCAACTTGTAACCTCTATGCCACCAGGGTTCCACCCTTAGGTTACAGTGGAGTATAAGCTGTCTGTACCACTTGTCAGCATTGCTAAGTCTAATAAAACAAACCCCCAAACCAGAAAAATCTAACTCCACTGCCATCAAATCAATTCCAACTCATAGTCATCTTTTATAGGGTTTCTGAGACTGTCAGCATTTTCTGTAGCCAATAGCCTCTTCTTTTTTCCCTCAGAGAGGCTGGTGGGTTTGAATCATGGACCTTGAGGCTAGAAGTCCAACGCTTAGCCCACGGTATCACCTCAAACTCAGCATGGCTTCAAGAGAGCTCTTGACTAGCCCAGCCCCTGCTGTCTCTGGCTGTGGCTCTGCTTTCCCCGTGGCTCAGATAGAGCCTGGAGGCGGCCTGGCGTTGCAGCCCCTCATTCCCCCAAGACCTCAGCTCAGGAGGCTGGTCAGCACACGTGTAGGCATCTCTACTCCCACCCCCTCCCCCATGCACCACCCTAGCCCAGACTCAGCCACTGCAGGACCCCTCCCAGTCACTGTCCATTACAGCACCCAGAGTAGTTTTGAAAGATGTAGCCCAACCCTGCCCCTACCCTACTCCAGACCCTTCCAGGTCCTGTTTCATTGTACTTGAAATGAAACCCACACGCCTTCTCCTGGCTAACAACAACAAAAACAACAGCAACAGGCAATAACAATAACCACCCAGCAGCAGCAGCAGCATCAAAATGGTGCAGGGGAGTCTTTTCTGACTCAGAGCAACTGAAGGACAGAGTAGAGCTGCCTCACAGAGTTTTCCAAACCATCACTCTTTACGGAAGCCAACTGCCATGTCTTTCTCCCACCCCACCCCTGCTGTCCCCTGCATGATCAGTGGGTTCCAAATACTGTCCTATTGGTCACAAACTGGGCACTGAATCATGGTGCCACCTGGACTCCTGTTCCTGGCCCACAAGGGCTCTGCCGCCTGGTCCCTGCCTGCCAACTTCTTATCTATTTGCTTCTTCCAGTTTGTTCTGTGGCCAGAACCAGACCAAGGGCCTTGACATGCTAGCAGAAGAGACAGGCAGCACTGGCATGCTGGGTGAGTGACGAACAGCAGGGACTGTGGAAGGAAGGAAGAAGGGCAGTGGGGGAGGGTGGGATGCAACAAACGGGGAGATGACAGCACAAGCCTGAAGGAAGTGGGAGAGTTGACCACATAGCGCTCCTGGGGGAGCGGTGTCCCTGGGGAGAGGGAACAGTTGGAGCAAAGGTCCTGAGGCTGGCATGTCCAGGGCACAGCAAGGAGGCTGACGTGGCCTGAGGGGAGGTCTCCAGGGGGCAGCCATGAGAGGGAAGGTCAGCGCAGAAAGGGGACCACTTTCCCTCCCACCCCACCCACGGTGAACGGAAGCCAGGCTTTCTCTTACTTCCTGGATGTTTGCACACGGTGTGCCCTCTGTCTAGGATATCCTCCACACGCTGCCTGACTCCCCATCCTCCGGTGTCAGTCAGTGCCAATTCCCGGGGCCTGTGTGTGCGTGAACGCATGTGTGCGTGCATATGTGTGTGTGTGTGTGTGTGTGTGTGTGTGTGTGTGTGTGTGTGTGAGACTTGATGGCATGCTCCCATAGTGCCCCAGGCTCCTCTATTTAACATCCACCCCGCAAGCAGGGCTCATTTAGACCTTGTGCACGACTGGACTCACCTTGAGAGGGGCTGGGTCCTGTTCTGAGGTGTCTCCCCAGGGGGTGGGTGTCCCACAAAGATGGATGAAAGAAGGAATGGGTGCACCCACCGGGGAGCTCGGCCGTGTGGGAAACTGGATGCTTCCTCAGGGAGTGAGCCAGGTCGGAACCAGTGGCAGCCCTGCTCGGGATGGACAGAGCCTCTCCTGCAGTGTCCTGCCACCAAGAAGGACCCAGAAGAGGCACAGTGTCTGGGGCTTGGCCAAGTCTCTTGTGTTTTTCACAAAGGGATTCAGGGGACGAGTGACCTCATCCTTGGAAGCAAATTCTGGGACAGAGAGAAAGGACTTGCTCCAGAGGTTCTGAGGGGTCCTGAGCTTCTTCCCTCATCTCTCCACCCAAACCGGGGAAGTGAGACTGGGTCTCCAGGGTGGACATGGCTATTCCACAAAATTACATGGCAGAGTGCTAAGGGCAGAGACCCAGAATTCAAAGACCTTTCCCTTGCACACCTGCCAACCCTCCTTGTGTGAAAGACTTGTTGAAAAATATGGTCTGTGCTATGTCCAATCAAACCTCAATGACCACGTTAGAGGGCCCCCTCCCTCCAACAGCAGGGGTTTGGTGAGAGAAAACTCCCTGTACTCAACCGCTTGTGAAGGCAAAGCTGATTCCAAAGGCCATCAGTATCTCTGCTGACGTAATGTTGGTAACTGATAGCTTTTTTTTCCTTCCTCCCAAGGGCTGCTTTCAAACACAGCCAAGTCTTATTTATTCTCACTCTGGGGATTGGAGGATGCTTCGTTATCATTTTACTGGTGAAAGTTAGCACGCATAATACCCAAAGGAAATACCATTGTACGTTGTTCCACACCAGGGGTCTTCCAAAAGCTCCTGGGGGGAAAAACGGAATAGAGAGATGATGGGCTATTCCCACAAGCTTGGTGTACCTCAGTATATCTGAATACAACTCAGCCTTTCCCGAAACCAAAGATAATTGTGTTCCTTCTGTCCTGGCAGTGGCCATTACCTGCGTCTTCCCTGTTGACGCAAATCTCTCAATGACCCTTCGGGAACCCATCCCCAAAGTCTCTTCTTGTCTGCTTTGTTCCATTGCCTCCTCTGGAGGCAGATGCCCCTGTTTGAAAATCGCCATGGGGGCCCTGGGCATGACACGCACCTGCCACACTCCTCCCCACAGGATGCACCACCAGGTACCACGAAGGATCGTCCGTGTTTGCCTACCAACATCTGTTTAAGTCAAGGATCGCGTATGTGCACCCTACTCTGGAGTGTGTAGCTCAATCCTATGTGTTCACCCACAGAACGAATCGCAAGATCAAGGTATGAAACATTCCATATACCGTATACTCGTGTGAAAGCCGAGTTTTTCAGCATGCTTTTCATGCAGTTTTTATGGTAAAATTAGGTGCCTCGGCCGATATTCGGGTCGGCTTATAGATACGGCACCTTAGAAGGTCCCCTTGTGGCATTTTCTGGTCAAGACCCACTTTCGCCCCCGTAGATTCATTTCTTTTGTTCTAGAAACTCATGTAGGTGAACTCATATTTGGCTTCTGTCACTTAGCAATGAACGTGTGCTTTATCAGCACTGCCCCCTGTGTCCTAAGTTACGGTATGTGTCCCTGCCCCCTGAGAGGACCAGCGGGAGGTATGTTCCTGGGTCTTTAGCCCGGACTCTCCATGCGTGCAGGGCCGTGATCTATTCAGAAAGCATCTGCAGTGCCTGGCACAGTCCTTGGCACGTGGGGGCTTGCTGTGGTTAGGCGCCAGTGACTTCGAGACCTGATGCACAACAGACAAAACCCTGCCTGGTCCTGCACCACACGCACAACTGGTCCTATGCTGGGGCCCAGGTCTCTTCTGACAGCAAAGTATGTGAGACCAAGTGTCGCTCTCCTTGCCTCTCAGGAGCACTCTGGCTGTACTTCTGCCAAAAGAGATTTGTTTATC